GTATTAAAATCTCCCACTATAATTGTAGATTTATCTATTTCTTTCTTCAATTCTAATAAGGTTTGCTTCATATATCTTGGTACTCTTTCATTGGGAGCATAGATATTTTTTATGGTTATGTAGTCTTGCTCACTTGACCCTTTGATCATGAGATAGTGTCCTTCTTTATCTCTTATGCTGGTTTTTGTATTACCATTTACTTTATCAGAGATTAGTATCGCCACTCCTGCTTGTTTATTGTTTGCAGCTAGATTGTTATATTTTTTTTTCCATCCTTTAACTTTTAGTCTGTTTTTTTCTTTGTGTGTAAGGCGTGTCTCTTTCAGGCAGCATATTGAAGGATCTTGTGTTTTTATCCACTCTGTCATTCTCTGTCTCTTCACTGGTGCATTTAATTCAATGATATCCATATAATTATCGATAGGTATGAATTAATTGCTGCTATTATGTTAATTTTTGGTAGTGCTGTTCTTTCCTTTGTTCTGCCTGCCTTCTTGTGATGAGTTTGTGTTTTTTGTGCTATTTCTTGTCAGTTTCTCTTAGTTTTCATGTTTGCTTTTTCTGCTCGGAAGTTCATTTTCATGGTAAGTTGTGAAGTATTAACTTTCTTTGGGTTTACCTTATATTCTATAAGCTTTTCCCTCCATTTAAGACAATCTGTTATATCCTGTTATCTACCTCCTCACCATCTGGATCTCTGTTCCTGCATTTTTCCATTCTTTGACATTGTTATTATTTTGATCTTCAGTTGACCTCCCAGCTCCTTTGAATTCATGTTGCAATTTTGTTCTGTTCTGGACTGTGCTATCCGTCTTCTGAGTTTCAGGTGGTGTTGCCACACCTGTCAGTAGGCGCGACAGGGAAAAGGAGGAAAAAATGTGTAGAATCCCCCCACACCTTCTGTTGCATATGTCACTGCACTACTTTTAGCGCTGGTTCACTGTGTCTATCTGCCTGTAGCGCTGGTCTTTGATATTTGCCCAGGTGGAGTGGGCACAGAGGGAGTCCCATGGCTCGACTGATTGTTATATAGCAGTATTTTTCTTTATACCATGATTTTCCACCAGCAGATACAGGAAACTGATGCTCTGCACCTTATGCTAGATCCCGAGCTCTGGTGCTGTTCCATTAAAGCAGCTTCTCAGGCTTTTCAGCCCCTCCCCCATGGAACCTGTCCTACCTGACTCTGCTCTGCCACAATACCACACCAGGACTGAAAAGTCACCTCCTTTCTTGCTTCTGTTCAAATTCTTTCTCCTGGTAAGTGCTTGATCCACTTATTTACTCCTTTATCTGAAGCTCAGAGTTCTGGGAGCGTCCTCTCAATGTTTCCTCCAGTTTTCCGTGTCTTTGCTGAAGAGGGGTGTTTGTAGTCTTTCTGCGTAGTCCAACATTAAGGCCTGCCTCCTCCTCCATCTTCTATAGATACTTCTACATCAGTTACTATTTTGTGCAAAGAATCATATTGTAAGTTGAGGCTTGAATTTTTTCCTCAGTTCTTTCAGCTGGAGAAATGTTGAGTGTGTTCTTCCCTTTTGGTTTTCTAATTCCAGATATTTGCACATTTCATTATATTTAACTTTGTCTTCTCAAGTTGCCTTTTGAAATATTCTGTTCAACTCTTTTACCTTTTCATCTTCCATTTGCTTTAGTATCGCTATGCCACAGGTCAAGTTTCATAGTCTTTTCTGACATTCAGTTTGGTCTTTTTTTCTTCCTTGTCTTTGTAATGATCTTTTGGTTTCTTCCTGTATGATGGTCTTGATGTCATCCCACAACTATTCAGGTTTTCAGTCATTAGTATCTAATGCATGAACTCTTTTTTGAGTTCATCTCTAAATTCAGGTGGGATATGTCCAAGGTC